AGCCAGTATGCTAGATGTCTGTGGAGATTCTCAGCCATCCTCCAGGTCATGGTTGTCTCAAAGGTGCTTTTTTTTTTTTCAAGAGACAGCTGGACTTTCTGGTTTTTCTCTGAAGACGTTTCGCTTCTCATCCAAGAAGCTTCTTCAGCTCTGACTGGATGGTGGGGAAAAAAGCACCTTTGGAACACTGTGCTAGATAGTAAACACTAAAATTCACACCACCACACACAATTCTTCTGTCAGGCCTTCAAGCACAAAAGCTGTCCCTTCTCCCCTCACCTGGGATGGTCATACTAGGGGCTTTAAATACAGGTAGTACTTGACTTACAACTATTTGTTTAATGACCACGGGAAGTTACAATAAAATGACTTACAACCGGTCCTCATACTTATGACTGTTGCAGCATCTTACAGACAGGTGATCAAAACTTGGACACTTGACAACCTTCCTATATTGGTTGCAGCATCCCAGAGTTGTGTGATCATCATTTAGGATCTTCTCAGCCAGCGTCCGACAAGCAAAGTCAATGCGAGAAACTGATGCACTTAAGAACTGCAGTGATTTGCTTAACAAAAATGGCAAAAAAAGAAAGAGAGAGAAAATTGGGCAAGGCTAGCTTTCGTAACAGCTGAAATTCTGATCCCAACTATGGTCGTAAGTTGAGGACTACTTATATGCCTTCCATATTTAAATACTTTATTGAAAAGAAATGTAAAATTAAACATCCAGGGCTTTCACAGTGTGATCTGTGGACACCGTTTTCTGAATACATGCTAGATTTTGCATATCTTCGAAGCCATCCAGGGCCAGCATTACTACAAACCAGGTTTTGCATTCCAGCATTGCCAGTGGTGGGATTCGAAAGTTTTTACTACTAGTTTTGTGGGCATGGCAGGGGAAGGACACTGTAAATTATCCATTCCCTTCGCACCCCACTAACCTGCTTTCCAGCTCTGTTCTCCTGTGCCGGGCAACGAAAAAAGACCCAGCTGATCAGCTGGGACTCGGGAGGTAGAGAATAGATGGGGGCGGGGCCAGTCAGAAGTGGGATTTGCCAGTTCTCTGAACGACTCAACACTTCCACTACCGGTTCTCCAGAATTGGTCAGAACCTGCTGCAACTCTTACACTGCAAAAACATGGACGACACAACTCGACCAGGGCAAAGCAATAGACGCAATCTACATAGACTTCTGTAAAGCCTTTGATTCAGTGGTACACGACAAACTACTCCTAAAAATAAAATCTTATGGTATCTCTGGACAACTGAATAACTGGATAGAAGCATTCCTGGCAAACAGACAACAAATGGTCAAAATCGGGAGCGTCCTATCAAATCCAGTACCTGTCAATAGTGGTGTCCCCCAAGGCAGTGTTCTAGGACCAACTCTCTTCATACTCTACATAAATGACCTCTGTGATCATATTAAGAGCAATTGCGTTCTTTTCGCTGATGATGTAAAGCTGTTCAATACCACAGACAATACTGCTACCCTACAAAAAGATCTTGACTATGTATCAGAGTGGTCAAACAAATGGCAACTTCAAATCTCAACAAATAAATGCTCTGTCTTACATATTGGCAAAAAAAAATCAGAAAATAAAATACAAGCTGAATAGTCAAGATCTTGTTGATGACCCAAGCTCTGTAAAGGACCTTGGAATACTCACCTCTAATGATCTAAGTGCTAGAGCCCACTGCAACTACATAGCCAAAAAGGCATTAAGAGTTGTTAACCTAATCCTACGTAGCTTTTTCTCTGGTAATATGACACTACTAACCAGAGCATACAAAACATTTGCTAGACCAATACTCGAATACAGTTCATCAGTCTGGAACCCACATTACGTATCTGATATTAGCACAATTGAGAAAGTCCAGAAATATTTCACAAGAAGAGTTCTCCACTCCTCTACTCGTTGTAGAATACCTTATGCCACCAGACTTGAAATTCTAGAACTAGAAAACCTTGAATTACGCCGTCTTCGGTCTGATTTAAGCATGGTATATAAAATCATACATTGCAATGTCCTACCTGTCAATGAATACTTCAGCTTCAACCATAACAACACAAGAGCACACAATACCCTGTTTCTCCAACAATACGGCCTCCCCCAATAGGAAGTCCCAGCATGTTTTATAGGCATGAAATGAAATTAAGCCCCTCCCCCAAATTAAGGCCTATATTAAAACATGCGAAATGGGGGGAATGGTGGGGGGGCTTGCTGTTAGGAAGTACTTTTGTTGCACACCCGGATATGGTGCTGCCTGCGTTGACCCCGATATGAAGTGCCCCACCAACGCTGAGGTCAACATCCAAGCTGTCGCCGCCCGCCCGCCTGAAAATGCAAGGGGGGGGGAATTAAGTCACCCCCAAAAAGACGACCTAGCCATTTTTTCGGGGCTCAAAAAAAAAAAAAACCCGGCCTTATTATATGAGAAACACGGTAGATACAAACTCAAGGTTAACTGCACCAAACTTGATTGCAGGAAATACGACTTCAGCAATAGAGTGGTCAATGTCTGGAATACTCTACCCGACTCTGTAGTTTCTTCCCCAAATCCCAAAAACTTTAACCTTAGACTGTCTACTATTGACCTCACCCCTTTCCTAAGAGGTCTGTTGGGGGCGTGCATAAGCGCACCAACGTGCCTACCGTCCCTGTCCTATTGTTTCTCTTATTCTTCTTTTATTTTTCTTATATGTACCCATTTCATGTATTCACAACTATGTATACACTTATACTTATTATCTTGTAAACAATTGGCAAATCAAATAAATAAATAAATAAATAAATAAATAAATAAAAAAAATAAAATACCACCTCTGATTGCCACGTTGAGCTGGAGCCATGGTTTTCTTGGCGCAGTCCATCTGCATGGCTAAGAGCTGATGAAGATCCATCTTTCATAGTTGTTCTAAGAATCCAGGAAGATCGTTTAGAACTCAAGTACACTTAAGCACAAAGTTCTTTCTGAAGATACTTGCCAAAGGAACACCACATGTTCATGGAGGAGCTATCTTGGGATAGCTTGTCTTGAATAAAAGGCAGGTGGGAGATCTACCCACAACCAAGGTGGCATTCTACTCTTTTCTTGAGAACACATTAAATAGATAAACAAACAAACATAAATAATCTCTTGTTGACAGAAGCCAGATTCACTTCCTGTTACTACTTTAACACTTGTAGCGATTCACTTAACAGCTGTGGCAAGAAAGGTTGTAAAATGGGGCAAAATTCACTTAACTGTCTCGCTTAGCAACAGAAATGTTGGGTTCAATTGTGACCGTAAGTTGAGGACTACCTGTGAATAAGACCTGTTGTGTCACACTTGTCTACACACTTGCTGACAACCTCAACAACTCTAGAAA